TCTACACCAACCAGCCAGGTCTTCAAAGAGAGTTCCAGGACAGCCAGTGCTATGCAGAGAAACCCTGTGTCCAAAACCAAACAAAACCCACCCAAACCCAAAGGCACGGAAGCTAAAGAATAGAAATATTCACTTGATCTGCGCCTGGTTACACACCCTTTTAGTCCCAACACTCAGAGAAGCTAAGGCTGGAGCATGGCTATGAGTTCCAGGCCAGTTCCTGGACAACAGGATGAACAAAAGTCTAGAGAGCAGCCACACCTGGATGGGGGAGGCAGATTCTGGTGGTCTAGATTTTTCTGCACTTTCAAAAGCTTCTACAAACATTATAAATAACTTTTTTTGTTGTTGTTTGAGTCAGGGTCTCACTCTATGGCTGGCTTGGAGCTCACTATGTAGGCCAGGGGCCTCAAACTCACAGAGACTTACCTGCAGAGTGTTAGAATTAAAGATGTGTGCCACCACACAGCTATAAGATTTGTTTTATCTTTTATATGTGTGCATGTGTGTGTGACAGAGAGAGAAAAAAAAAGAGAGAGAGAGACAGAGAGAGAGACAGAGACAGAGAGACAGAGATTGCATAGAGGCCATAAAAGGATGGCAGCTCCCTCAGAGCTGTGATTTCAGATGATTATGAGATATTCGACATGGGTGCTGGGAACCAAACTTAGTTCTTCTGCAAGAGCAGCAAGCGCTCTTAACCAATGTGCCAGTGCTACCAGCAGCCCTTGTTTCCTGTGGAACTTGTTGTTTTAGACAGGGTCTCTCACTGTCCTGGGGTTTGCAGAATACGCCAGGCTGGCAGACGAGCCCCCAGGATCCACTGGTTTTAGCCTCTCCAGCAATAAGATTATGTGTGTCATATCGAGTAGTTTTTTTTATTTTTTATTTTTTAACATGGGTTCTGGGGATCCAAATCAGGTTATTGTGCTTATGCAAGCTGAGCCATCTCTGCAGCACAGGCATGCATGCCAAGCCAGAACAGGACTGCTTGTACCAGTCCGGGCTCACTGACACTGCCTACCCGGCTATGTTGTATGAGTGGGATGGTGTCAGCAGAGTGGACGGGACTCTAGGATTTTTGGTCCATTCTGCCTACCTCTCAAGCCTGAGTGTGTGTCTGTGGAGAGGGGCTCTGCTGAGAAACATAGGCCTCACCTGATGCTAAAGAGATCATCCCATTCTGCCTCTTCCTCCAAGGAATGCGCCATGATTTATCATCAGGCTTACCAACCTCAGCAGACACAGTGTGGTGACGTTAGCTAAGGCCTTACATTATATTTCATTTCTGACACTGCTTCCAGAGCACAGGAGACTGGCACTGGCCCCTGGATGCTGGGATTCCCCCATAACTCAACTCTTTGTCCATGTCTAGCTCATCCTAGATTTCATCAGTCCAAGTCCCTCTTTATCCCAGGGACTTGGACTGATGAAATCACTGTGCCCTGGACTGCTGCTTCTTTGCCCACAAGGCTGTATCTTCTCCGTCATGTTATTTTGGCATTTGCTGTTGCTTTAAGACTCACTCTTTAGCCCAGGCTGGCCACAAAGCTGAGGTGATCTCCCCACCCCACTCCTTTTCAGCTTCCTTAGTGCTGGGCTTATATGCTTGTGTTACCACATCTGAATATACTGAATCAAAAAGACACCACAGAGCCTAGAGCTGACTATGAACAGCCACCGTACACACACAGCCAGGCTGCACAACAATGATGCACAGCCCTAGGACCAGAACACAGGGCTTCACAACACTAGCCAATAGGTCTGCCACCAAGCCACACCCCTGCCCCTCACTGGGGAACTCCAGGCAGGGGCTCTACCACTGAGCCACACCCCTGCCCCTCACTGGGGGACTCTAGGCAGGGGTCTCTCACTGAGCCACACACTAGTACAATGGTCTGTCAGGACATCGAACACAGTCTGAGGAGGTTCAGGACGCTGTGGCAGGGGACCACCCCAGTGAGCTGTCACCACCCTGTTCTGTTCCTCTCATCTTTTATCTGAACACATATTTCCCATGCCGATATTCTCTCACTTGCTTATTGAGCCTCTTGCACATTTTCTGCATAGGTATTTTAAAATTATGTTTATTTCTGGGCACGCTGGTGCACACCTTTAATCCCAGCACTCCAGAGTCAGAGGCAGTGAGTGAGCTCTGTGAGTTTGAGGGTAGCCTGGTCATCTGTCTCTAAAAAGCTACAATGACTTATACGTTTATTTACTTGGGAGGAGAGGAGGTGTGTGTGCCACGGCTTGGTGCACTTGTGGAGGTCAGAGAAAAACTTGTTGGGGGTCAGTTCTCTCTGTTATGTGGGTCTCTGGGTCAGGCAGGGTGGTATACACCTCCAATTCCAGCATTTGGGAGGCAGATTTCTGTGAACTGGAAGCTAGCTGGCAAGCTCCAGGCCAACCAGTACAAGACAGTGAGACCCTGTCTCAAAAAGCAAACAAAATGTGGGTTGGAGATCAAACTCAGACTTGGTGGCAAGCAATTTTACCTGCAAAACCATGTCGCAGGCCCTGAGCAGGGAGGGAGCTTTGCAAGTGTGGTTTCCTGCTGTGCTCCCAGTGCCTATGAGATTAAGCACTAAGCGCCCACTGAATTGGACGAAATACACAAACACATTCAAGCTCCATCTAAGAGAGGCCTGATGTAAGCTGGCTGCAGCAAGAGGGAATGCAGTGAGACACGAGGGAGGACTTCCGGGGTGGCAGTTTCTACAGGCAGTGAACATAGCTTTGTCTGTATGTCCAGCAAGCAGGAGGTCCCATGACTGCCCTGGGAGGCACGACTGGAATGGAGGGTGCCTCTCAAAGATTCCAAGGCTGGGCTGGGCGGGCCCCTGGCTGGGGGCCAGAACCTCAGGGCTGGGTGTTTAGATGGACACAGAACAGAGGGGTGGTTTCCGTAGCTGGCCAGGAACAACAAGGAAGCAAGGAAACACAGCTAAGCCCTCTCCCTGCAGCCTGTGCCCGTCCGTTAGGGTCAGCAGGTCTCCAGTCAACTTGATCTTGGATCTTGGGGTGAGAGTGGGGTTCCACAGGCCCTCAGTGCAGACCCTGGCACAATGAATCCCTGCTCTAAGCCTCAGCTCCCCCAGCTATAAGTAGAGTTGAAACTCAGGGGGCTGAGGTAGGAGGATTGGGAGTTCAAGGCTAAGCTGGGTGAGCTGCCCAAACCTGACACACGGCACTCAGGAGGGGAGATGGAGGAAAACAGAAAGGAAGGAGAAGGCGAACGGAGGGAAGGACTCAAGGCTGGAGTGCCCAGCACAGCAAGACTGTCTCAAACGCCACATACCCCAAAAAGGAAAGAAAAAAAAAAAAAAAAACCCAAACCAGTCAACCAACCAGGCCACAAAGGTCAATCTGACCACTGCCCGCAGAAGCAGCAAGAAGCATGGCATGAGCACTTACTGTATACATTCATTCCCAAGGATTTTTGAAGGGTGGGTCTATATTAGAGCATGTCACAGGGAGGAAAGTGGAGGCCCAGAGAGATGGCGTCACTCTGCTGGGGTCACACAGTGATGGAACCCGGGGTACCTCGGCCGTTGACCCATCTTTCTCAGCCCCTCTTGGTGAGACACTGAGCAGAGCAGCTGGTGCCCCTTGGCCCGTGCCAAGACAGAACAGCTGTGACTATTGCTATGAATCATCCTGGCAGCTTCTCCTGGGCAGCTGACAGTCTGTATACAGCCCTTCCTGGCATGAGGACTCAGCACTTCCTCCGGGTGCACCCCTTCCTCTTCCGAAGGCCACTGGGCTCGGGTAGGGTCTCCTCCACCCTCAGGGCTAGGCAGTGGGAGGTAGGTACACTGGTTGCCTCTGCCATTGAAGGCCACTGCTGGGGTTTTAATCTGGTATTACGAGAATGAAGGGGATCCGCAGAGAAGGAGCACTTTAGTTCTAGACTCCTTTACCCACCCGAAGGTCCCATAGAACAGACGTGAGTTGGAGATTCCACGTGACTTCTGAGCACTGGATCCAGCCATGCCTGAAGCTGTCCCTCAGAATCATGAACAACACTCTATCCAGGGTTGCACACGCCCAACACATTCCTGCCATTTCTTAATTCAAGAGAGAATCTGCTATGAAGCTAACGATCTTGGGGAACCTCCTCCAAAGAACTCATGTTTTCTGGATTATTTACACCTCAACACAAGGCAATATGCTAAATGCTCAATTTCTTTGTGCATTAATATATGTGTACATACATGTGCATGGATTGTGTGTGCATGCATGCGTGTGTGCACGTGTGTAATGTGTGTGTGTGCATGCACATTTGCATATATGTGTGTATCTACACGTATGTTTAGGCCAGAGGTAAACAGATGGTGGTGCTCCTCAGGTGCTGTCTACTTTTAAAAACTGTATTACTGCTGGGTGGTGACCGCACACGCCTTTAATCCCAGCAATAGGGAGGCAGAAGCAGGTGGATCTCTGAGTTTGAGGCTAGCCTGGTCTACAAGAAAGTTCCAGGACAGCCAAGGCTATTACACAAGGTTACCCAGAGAAACCTTGTCTCAAAAAACAAAACAACAAAAATGTATTACTTTTTATGTGGCCAGGGCATGTCTGTGTCACAGCACACCTGTAGAGTACAGCTTGCAGGAATAGGTTCTGCTTTTCTACTGCATGGACTCCAGGGATAGAACTTAGGTCATCTGGCCCGGCTGCAAGGTGCCTTTAGCCACCAAGCCATCTCAGTGTGCCTGTCTTGTCTCAGACAAGGTCTATCACAGGCTGAACTCCAGCGCTGGGGTTAAAGCGGGCATGACCACACCCAGCTTTTCTACATGGGTGCTGGGGATCAGAACTCAGGTCCTCATGCTCGTCCAGCAGGCACTTTACCAACTGTGCCATCTCCCTGGGCCCCTAGACACCAAATTTCTCTGCCTGATACCCACAGCTCTGAGGCCCACTGTGGAATTCCTCCCATGGAGAAAGTTAGATGAAGGAGAGGCCCGACTGGGTCTCCCCTGAATACAGTCACTCACCTGAAGTCCTGGCCACGCCAGTGCCACTTCGCTCTGTGATACTGATCTTCTTGGCTGTGTGCATGTTACTGGTGGTGGCTGCAGGCAGGGGACACAAGGTCTCCACCACCTCATGGGTGCGGAACACGAGGGTGTTGTCTGTGCCCCCAGATGTCGATAGGGCCTTCAGCCCTGCTCCGTAGGGTTCCAGACTCTGGGCTCGCTGTGCAGGGGCCCCTGCTGCCGTGCTGGCTGCCACCTCCACTTCCCGGGGACCTTCCACCACTCTCACGGTGTCCACACGGACCTGGGTGTCTGGTGGTGGCCAGGCCTGGGGCTGGAGGTTGGCCTGCTGGGTCTGAGTCGCCCGTAGCTCCTGCAGCGCTTTTTTGAGCTGGGTTTCCAACACGGCCACTTTAGCCACTAGGGCAGCTTCACCATCTGGAATGCCCAAGTCCCGTTCTCGGACCCAGGTGCCCACAGAGCGGGTCTCTAGCACAGCAGGGTCCTCGGGGGGCTCTGGAAGGTCCAGGCAGAGCTCACCCCGGCCTCGTGTCCCTGAGGAGTGGCCTAGAAACTTCTGGCTCTTGAGTTGCACGGTGAGCTGTCTCTTCTCTTCCTGGAGCACCGAAAGCTTGACCTGGAGCACGGGGATCAGCTTGACCTGCTCTTCCAGCTGGCGCAGCTTGCGCAGGGCCGCAGCCATCTGTTCGCGCACATGGGCCAGGTGACCTGCACTGGGTGGTACCGGGGTGGACAGGCCCGAGCTGCGAGGTGTGGGCGGTAGCAACCCCACTCCTGCCAGGGAGCTGGTGGAGCCTGCAGCGCTGGGCGTCAGGGAGCCCAGACCACCCGACGGAGCGGCTGCCTGGTCCTCCAGCCGGCGCCGTGCGTCCAGCAGCGTGCGCTCCACACGTGGGTTGGAGCCACCGCGGGTCTCCAGGGCTCCGTACTGTGGGTAGAAGCCACGGCCACAGTAGGAGTAGGCCGAGTGCCGGCTGTCCCCACTGGCATCAGAGCACAGCGACTCCGTGGACGTCCACCAGGAGCCCGGGCCCCGCGGCAGGGAGCCCAGGCGCGGACGGCGCTGCACCGCCACCCTGCGCAATGTGTGGCCCTTCTCAATGTCATCCACATACTTAAGAAAGTCCAGGTCCAGGCGGTAGCCGTAGGGCGTCTCGACGGAGTAGGGCGGCTCTGGCTCTTTGCTGGGGAAGGTTGCGGGGGAGGCCTGGCCAGGAGTCCCTGCAGTGGGGAAAGCCAAGGCTTTAAAGTACTTGTGGGCCCCCTGTGCCAGGGACACAGGTAGCTTCGCCAGAGCTGGGGGCCCACTCTAGACGAACGGGGTCTGGTCTGGCCCTGTCACCCAACGATGCCAAGGACAGGGCTGTCCTTTCCCATTCACTTTAGGGCTGTCCCCGCCCCTTCAGGCCCACATAGGGATATCCCTCCACCTCGGGCCTTCTCCTTATGGCTGACCTCCCCCCTCAGACTATCATAGAGTCGTCCTCGCCATTCAAGCCTTTCAGGGCAGAGCCCTCCCCCCACCCTCCCCACCTGCCCCTGACCTGGGAATGGGGCAGGCACATGCAGGACCTGGGCCATCTTCTCTCTGCTGTTGCTCCTCAGGTGTCACCCAGCGAACTGTGAGTCACACTGCCTGCAGCACTGGCTGAGGCTGACCTGCAGAGGTTGACAGAGCAGTCTTCAGGGGAAGGGAGAGGATGTGGCACCTCCCTCCACAGATGGCCTCAGGAAGGTCAGGCACCTCTCAAGTACTTAAACACTCAAGCTCCCCTCCCTACCCTCGCCTGGCTGGAGAAAGTCCTAGAACAAAGAAACCAAACCTCCCTGGCTGCGTGCACATCTGTCCAGCCCTGGACAGACTCCAGCTGTTCCCATAGCCTCCACATGGCCCCCAGGGCAGGGCCCCACCCTTCCTGTGCCCCCTCCCCTTGGCCCATCTTGGAGTGTGCACAGGGAGAGCTGGGTAAGGGTAGGTAGAGGGCTGGATGCTGACAGGGTGAAAGTAGAGATCTCAGAGGGGGGCAAGAGACAGAACATGGAGGGTGGGACCCCTCAGCAACCCCAGAGCAGAGAGCCAGGCCAGGCCAGTAGAGAGGGGGAAAGTGCTGAGGGTACAAGCTGTGAGAAGCCTTCCTCTTTATGGAAACAATTTTCTCTAAAAATAAACAGTCTCTTTGCCCAGCTACATAGAACTTCCTGCCCCCTCAGGATATGTCCAGGCTAGGAGGGTAGGGGGTGCAGAAGTGATAGAGTGGGGTGGAAGCAAGGGAAGTCATAGAGGTGGAGGGGAGGAAAGAAAGGGGTGCCTATAGCCTGCAAACAGCTCTTGCTAAACCCACTTCAGCCCTGGAGGTCAGCCAGAGTCTGCCTTCTGCTGGCTGCCCTCCAGCCACCTTGCTGCAGACACCTCCACCCATATCATCCTCCAGGGTGGATCATTCTGGGGTATGGATGCCAGGGCGGTGGGTACCTGGGAGGACAGGACAGGTGGGGCACCTGCTGGGCATGAAGGCAGGTTTGGGATGCTCTCTCCCTGTTTAATTTCCCTCCATGTCTCTGCCCCTCCAGTCTGTGTCTCTCTACCGTCTCTGCCCTTGCTTTGCTGGCTTGAACACCTGGAACGCACAGTGACCAATTGTAGGGAAAACAGGCTCTGCATCTGCCTGGAGTCTCGGGGCCTCCAGAAATAGGAAGCTGGTTCAAAATATTTCCTGGGGACCTGAGAGACACACAGAGGTAGGGAGCAGTATTGGGACAGCCTGCCGGAGGGGTGCTGAGATGGAATGAATCAAGTTAACAACTGTAACACCACTTGTGTTTTGTTTTGTTTGAGACAGTCTCGTATAGCCCAGGCTGGCCTCAAAGCCTCTATGTGGCTGAGGATGACCTTAAAATTCTGTTCCTCCTGCCTCTACCTCCAAGTGCTGGAAACTGCTGGTTGTACAGACACACCCAGTTTCACCGTTCTGTGGATGGAATACCAGACTTCACACATGCTAGGCATGTATGTGTTCTACATCCCCTACCCTGCTTATCTTTTTAAGAAAAGAGCCTGTGCAGTGGTGGCTCACGCCTTTAATCCCAGAGCTCAGGAGGCAGAGGCAGGAGGATCTCTGTGAGTTCCAGACCAGCCTGGTCTACAAAGAGAGCTCCAGGACAGCAAGGACTGTTAAACAGAGAGACCCGGTCTTGAAAAACAAAACAAAACAACAAACCCCCACAAAAACAAGATGAAAGGAAGGCAGGCAGGCAGACTTGCTATATGGCCTAGGCCAGCCTCGAACTCACTACTCTCTGGCCTCAGCCTCCCAAGTGCTGGGATTGCAGGCATCCCCCAGGACTCCAGGTTATAACAAAGACTCTCAGTTGCCATGACAACTCCAGGCGGTAAACCCTCACCCAAATTCACCACTGAGTGTGAATCTTTCGCTGGGTCACTTGGGCAAATGTTGTGTTGGGTTGGATGTAACCTAAGCGTGGCAAATTCGCCCAAGGCACCCCTAGACTCCACTCGTCTCATTTCCGAGCGATCGAGGGATTGATATCTAAGGGGTCTCCAGTAATCTCACCACAGGCGGGTAACTCGGTGGGAGGCGGCCCCTCTCTCCCTACAAGATTCCCTGGGTGGGGGTGGCGAAAGGAGGGTGGAAGAACCAACAGGTGGGAATTTTCAGAGAAGGGCCACAGGGTCTCCCCAGAGTGGACCTCCCCGACAGCCTGAGCGGATCTGGGGGTTTTCCTGCCTCGATCTCTCCGCCCCCAAAGTTGGGGGTGAGGAGGACCCCGCCCCGGTGTGGGGCGGGGCCTGCGGGGTCCCC